AAATTAGGAGGCCTAAAATTTCTTTTATTTTGCAATTATAATGTTGAAAAAGTCCCCCCTAAACTATCTAACTTTCATAAACAGATGCTTCTCTCTTGGTCATTAATTTATAAACATAACTTTTCCCCACATCGATATTACATTTGGAACAATAAAGACATATTATATAAAAACAAATCCTTATTTTACCCAAATTGGTTTACTCACAACATAGTCCTGGTTCATCAGCTTTTTAATGTAGATGGGTCATTAATGTCATATCAAGGATTTATTTCAAAATACAATATCAACATTCCCATTAATGAGTTTAATATTGTTATAGCTGCAATTTCTGCTGGTGTATTTATGTTATTTAAAAATAGAAGACAGAATCTGAATTTATTACCTTTTGATCCAACTGAACTCGAAATTGGCCAAATTTGTTTTTCTTCTGCACGTAATAAGAACCGTCGTATACGCTCATTATTTCAGAAAGATGTTGTATCTACTCCATATGTAGTATCTTATTGGAACACATTTACTGATAACCTTAACTGGAAAAGAATTTGGACTTTACCAACTAAATGATCAACTATATGATGAACTATATGATCAATTATAAAGTAAGAGAAGTATCCTTTAAAATTATTCATAGAATTTACCCATCTAAAATATTTTTGCAATGCAAAAGATATAAATGTAATGTGCTCTTTGTGTGAAGGCCACCCTGAGGATGATCATCACTTGTTTTGGTCCCTTTCTACTCAATTGTGGGAAGATATATGTGTTCTGATCTCTACCTCTGTTGAGCCACATTTTTCCCTTTGTTTTGAACATATATTGTTTGGCTTCACTGACCATCCGCTTACCAAAGAAAAACAATTTTATATTATCAATCTTATTATATATTTAGCCAAATGGCATATTCACAAATGCCGTTACACTAATCAAAAACCTCTTCTTTCTATTTTTTTAAATGAAGTCAAACAATATATTACAAATATTAGACACTCTATAAATATGAAAGCTATTAAAACCTGTGCCTTATGTGATCTTTTTCAAGTCTTTGTGTAATGTTATTTTAAAATTGTCTCAAAGCTTGTAACCTAACCCCCTGGCAAATGTTTTACTCTATTTTACATTGTTCTTCATTTTGATTCTAATAAAGAAAATGCAGACAAAAAAAAAAGCAGACAGTGAGGAAATGGGGGTGGGGGGGTGGACTTAAGAATAGCTGCATCTGATGCACCTTGTAATTTACACTTACTATAATTTTTTGTGGTATGGTTGTAGTAAATGTGCAGCATGACTGAACAAACACAATAAGCAAAGGTCTATAAAGTTGCATGTGTTTGTCTGACACATCTTTGCATGAAACACATCCATGTAAAGCAAATATTAATCCTCTAACCTGCTCTGTTTTCATTTCAAAGTCTAATTTGCAAGTCTATATAGTCTTTTCAGATGTGTCTTGTCTTTGCCTCGTTTATTTGCACAAGACATATATCATCTCCTGTCCTTATTTTGGTTTGTGGGTCTGAGGTGAGAAATATTTTTTTGTAAAAACAAAAATAAAATAAAAAAAAAGAAGAAGCAGCAACTTTGTTTCTATGTGGGAGATGTTTTTTAGGGATGTAAAATGTAAGACCAGATTTAAAAAATAAATACGAATCTGTGGACACTTAGTGGTTACAACATAAATGCTGTAATTCTGCAGTTTACCTATAAATACAACCAATAGTTAAACTTGTCTACCATGACAAAGGAGCTCAATTAAAAAACACAGAGAGACACCTCAACTAGAGGTTTATATTTACAGTAGAAATAGAAGAAAGAGAAGTTATTATAGTGGAGGTGAAGTTATTAGAATAGCTGGGGTTTTTTTTTTTTACATACAAACCTTTAGTTATATGTAAGTCCAAAGAAGCCAATGTCATCATGTTTACATGTAGATTCAGTATGCATTTGTTAAATATTTTTTGTTTTGTAAGAAATAAAAAATAAATTTCAAAAAGTCATATTAGAAGTGTGTTTTTTTATTTTATTAATCATATCTACAGTAAACACAGGCACATATTTGTCCATTAAAAGTATACATTGTCTCAGTAACACTGAACAATATTGTAGCCTAATCTGTAAATTTACAAAGAAGAAAACGACAATGTTTAAAAAAATAGATAAAAGGGAAGACAATAATACTGAATCAAAGTTATTAATTGATTATAATAACTAATGGGCTGATTTGTTTTTAACTAAGTTCAAAATCTTAGAAATAGTCTTTATTTTGATCAGGTTGTTTGAACAAAATTTGTCCAGTTGTAGTGGAGGTCGGAACCAGTAGGGGGCAGTAATGCAATGGTTCATTACGCATGCGTGTCATATTCAATATGTCTGCGCCCGTCGGCAAGGTGGTAAAGAAACAACATTTTGAAACCAAATATTAACATTTAGTGAACCGATAATATTAGAACTACGTGTGACTAAATTGTGTTTTGTAGTAGTATCAACAACATTTCAAGTAAAAATTTATTATGTTTAGTACGTTACGGTTTATTAGCTCTTCAAACTCCTCACTCCGTCATTGCTTCTGTTGAAATCCAGCTTTTTTTTTTTAACGTCACCAATCAATTAATGACTTGATTTGAAATGGTATTTTTGAAAATTTCTGCAGTTTTTTCCCCCACAACACTAATTGTAGCTGCAGACAACGTGACTATACTTAAAACTTGAAGTTTTATCAAATTTAACGCATTTTTGCTGCAAAACAAACACCCGGAATTTAACAGTTCGTTTGTGGTGGACAAGCTGCCTCTTAAAATAATAAATCTAGGACCTTTAAGCACGTATAAAGAAAGCTTTTCTTAAAATCTGAATATTTTCGAATGGAATCTGGCCTATTGACCTGGTCTACCACAAAGTGACATCAAAGTCTGTTGGCTTCTCTGCTCCTTTTATAATGGCTCATAGAAGACTTTTTAGCCTTCTTCTGAGAAGACGTGAGGTGATCCCTCGCTTTCACCAAAAACCTCAACATATCAGCTGGACTCTTCCTCAACATGCTGGTCACCTCTGTCACAGGAGCCAAAGGACTCTTCATATAGGTACTCCACTGATGATGAAGATGCTGTCAGTGGATGAACTTTTTGCAAGTAGGTCTCTACAAGAATACTTACTAAGAATGGAGAAAGACTACAACGAGTGTTTACGAGTGGTCAGTGGCGACGTGTCAGAGGATGAGTACAGGAAAGATGAAATGAAGACCGTGCAGACCAAAGTATCACTGCTGGCTCCTCTCATTCAGAGCATCAGAGAGCTGCACGCAAAACAAAAGGAGATTACAGAGACCGAGATGCTTCTGAAAGGTGAGACGTGAGAGAAAGCTGTTTCAAAAACGGGTGGATTCAGCCTGTGGCGCTCCACTAACTTTATTTGTCACTTTCACACAGATGAAGACGCAGCGCTGCGAGAACTGGCTGAGATGGAGAGAGAAGGGTGTTTGCAAGATATTCAAGATCTGAGACAAAAGGTGCAACGCTTTGCTTTTTGACAAGATGCTGCAAAGTAAAGCAGATAAGAAAAGAAGGGTTTGCACCATCAACCAATGCTATATTATGAACAAGCCAACACTTGTGTTTTAAATTTATTTATTAATTTTTTTGATTTTGTTGTTGTACTCAATCATATTTTCTCCAATCAGATTTTAGATCTGCTGATCCCTGAGGAGGAGGCTGACACGAGCGACCTCGTCCTGGAAGTCACAGCTGGTGTTGGGGGTCAGGAGGCCATGCTTTTCACGTCTGAGGTCTGGTCAAGCACTTGTGTAAATGTTAATTGAACAGACTTATTTTAAAAACACGTAGAGGGGAAACCAATATCTGTCCAAACAGTTTGGTAACATATGTTCAGTGTATTTATTTACATACTGCTGTTTGTTCTTTTTTTATTTTTTAAGATATTTGGCATGTACCAGAGCTTCGCTAAGTATCACGGCTGGTCCTTCGAGATCCTGGGGCACGTGAAAAGTGATATAGGTCAGTTGATAGATTACACGAAGAGTCGTGTTATTGTGCACCTAATCTAAAGCAACCACACTTATTTCTACCTCTGCCTCTGTTGTCATCTCTGTGCTTGGGTAGCTGAAATACGTGGGTTTTGAATTCCTTGTTTTTGTTTGCCTTTTTTAAGGTGGCATTTGCAATAGAAGAGCTGAATGTTAAATCACAATGTCATATATTGTCCACAGAATAATGGCTCCACTGTCTTTGCTTAGCCTCACATTCTGTTGTAGCTGCCATTAAGATGTGTAGATTTCACTTGTTTTGTTTGTTTTAATTGTGTTTCTGACAGCAGTTACGTCTCAGTTTGGTGTTTCTGTAGACAGTAAAGAAAGATAGTATTTATAACTTTGTATGAAATATAAATGCATTGATGTTACCCATCTTTACTAAAATCATAAAGAATATAGTCCCACCCACCCCACACATACAAATGGGAGCAATAAGCTTAGAAAGATAGAAGGAAAGAAGGAAAGTTTTAAATTGAAGCAAACTGACTTTTAAGGCTGAAGAATTTTAAAAAGACACGTGTAAATTATAAAACTTTGGCTACTAAGTTTTAGTACTTTGTTCTTCAATGTGAGCAGGGGGGCTACGTCACGCCTCGGCCAGTATCAGTGGTCCTCAAAGCTACAAGAAGATGAAGTTTGAGGCCGGAGTTCATCGAGTTCAAAGGGTTCCCAAGACGGAAAAACAAGGCCGGATGCACACCAGTACCATGACTGTAGCTGTTCTGCCCCAACCCACTGAGGTATGACTCCACAAATTAGATCAATGGTAGTTAAGTGCTGTCACAAGCATGTTTTTTTATTATTATTTAAGTGCAGTTAAAACACTTAAAAGTAAGTTATTCTACAATCGTGGTATCAAATCATTGACACATAGACTTCTGTTAGTTTTGTTATTTAGGAGAGTTGTATGTATATTTTAAGGTTTCACCTTTTGTTGGTCTTGTGTGGCCTTTTTAGATCTCGTTCACAATAAACCCGAAGGACCTGAAGATAGAAACGAAGCGAGCGAGTGGAGCTGGAGGTCAGCACGTCAACACAACAGACAGTGCAGTCAGGATAGTCCATCTTCCAACAGGTAACAACTGAAAACAACACAAGCTGATGCAGAACAAACGTACATAAAACATAAATATGTAGCAAAAAACGGCTACAGAAAGTAAAATAAGTAGAAACTCTAGCTCTTTACCACATCGCAAGAGACAAACTTCTGAGCAAATCAAGATATTAAAATGAGCACACGTGTCCAACCCTTTTCCCTAAAGTCAGGAGTTGTAAGAGCATTGTGACATGTTCGTGTGCATTTGTGAAAGGTTGTTTTGTCACTCTGTTTCTATCCTGTTTGCAACAGGAGTTGTGAAATCAGTGAGTCTCTTTTATTGTAGCCCTTGAATTCTTGTGTGTGTGTGTTTGTTAGGTGTGGTTTCAGAGTGCCAAGAGGACCGATCCCAGATGAAGAACAAAGAAAAGGCCATGAAGACCCTGACAGCGAAACTTTACAGCATGAAGTTGGAGGAGGAAACCAGCAAGCGTTCCAACCAGCGCAAAATCCAGGTGTGTTTGCATCGTGAGAAGTATAAACTGAAGAACGAAACCTAAAATGTAATTTAAAAAACAGGTGTGTCGATGTAAGCTGTTGAATTTGACTGATTATTGGAATACAATCAGATCAAATGTAATAAATCAGTGATCAGTAAAAAGAAAATATAAAACAACAGATTTTTTTTTCAGTTAAAATAGGAAGTGGGTTAATAAAACGATGCAAAGTTGGAAAAAATAAACCGTCTTCCTCCTCCTCTTTCTTTTTCAGATTGGCACAAAAGGCAGATCAGAGAAGATCCGGACGTACCACTTCACCCAGGACCGTGTAACAGACCATCGTATTGGCATGACGGTGCACGACATTAAGAGCTTCATGCTGGGAGAGGATCTGCTGGACGAGATGAACTTCTCACTGCAGGAGTTTTCCAACCAGGAGACAATCATTGAGCTGTTGGAAAAGAATAGCCAGGAGGGCTCATGAGTTTGGCCCTAACAGAAAAGAAACATTTTAGTTTCTGGATGCTTGAGCGCTGAAATATCGTTCATTCCTACTCTGCTTTAAAGTCTGTGTTTACAGACCACATCACATTGAAATGGTAAGAACATACTGTGGAACTTGGCTGCAGACATTTGAACCAGTAGTTATTTATTTCAACATATGTTTTCAGGTAATTGATCTCAAACACAATTAAAGACAATATGTAAAAGTTAACTGTTTTATCACCATTTTGTTTTTCAAAAGTCTTGGTAAAACAAGAGTACAATATTTAAAGACCTAGCGTAGCAGAAAGCACATTGAATTCCGTTTCGGTTAAACATTGGCAATATTGCAAGATCTTTTGTAATCTGTTAGCGCTTGATGTACTGTATGTGTTGGGAATAACTCTAGGGCAGTGGTTCCCAAACTTTTTGTCTTCTGACCCACAACCTATCCATGGCAAAAACCTGTGACCCCAAATATTACTGGTCTGAGTGCATGAACTTTGTTAATAACCCTAAAAACACAGGCTTTTGACAATCTAAACAGCTTATACACAAATATAAATACTTATTTTTACTTATTTTGTGGGTTTTTTTTTATAATTATAGGGAAAATATTACATTAGCAATTATTTTATTACCCTTTAAATTGATTTCTGGAGATTATCCACATGACCCATAATTGGGTCCCAAGCCCAACTTTGGGAACCAAAGTGCAGTGGTTCCCAAACTTTCCAGCTTTTGACCCACAAAATAACAGTAGCAGAGACCTGTGCCCCCAACTATTTTTGGATGATAAATATTTGAATCAGGTCAACAAAACATGGGCATGGTAACAATATTTTTTATACTACATTTATCCATTTTAAATATACTAACCTCAATCATTTGTAACAAATAAGGCAAAAATGTAATTAATTCAAAAAATCTTTTCAGGACCCCACCTTGATGTTTCAGGACCCCACTTTGGGTCCCAACCCCAACTTTGGGAAACACTGCTCTAGGGTACTCAGTTCACGAGGTGTTTTGCTAACAGACAGAGTTGATCCTAATTTTAAAAAATAGCTCTTCAGTGATGCCAACATAATAGTGTTAAGATTATGTGCTGTGGTTCATTTTAATCAACTAAAGAATGTACTTATGCTCAATATTTGTGTTCTCCAAGGTTGATTAGTGGTAGCCATTTTAAATGGTGTTAAATCACATGTAGGTGATTGCTTCCTGAAAGTTTTATTAAAATCAGAACACTGATTGGTGAGATATTTTTGCTAAATGTAGACACTGGCTAACACTTTATGTGGCGGCTAATAATAATTAAAAAAAACTTTCATTTTAATATGGCTTTGATCACATGTATGCTAATGTTTGTTTTTGACTGCCTATCTGCGTGTAAGACTTTTGAACTTCATTACCCATAATCCTTAGAGCGCCAAGGTTGATTAATCGATTGTGGAGACAAACAATTCTCCCCACGGTCTCATCCGATCCAGCGCCACCGTTAGCCAGCTAAAATGGAGTAGCAAGTCAGTTTCTACAGATGAAAATGCGTTTCTGTTTTGAAAAATATGCCTTTTCATAGAAAACCAGGTGTGGGAAAATCGATTTCAGTTGTTTTTAAAGCCTTCACACTTTCTGGAAGACAGAATTTTCTTTTTTACGACGTCGGTAGCCGAGCGGGTTTAGCGTGAGATCTGACAGAGAAGAAGAGGCTCATCTGCCCGCTGCTGCTGCAGCGGCAGCTCGGTCTGTGGGGATTTGGACAAAGCCAGTCAGATGTTGTACGATAACAAATACCTAAACTCCGATGTTTTAAGACCAGCTGAACAACATCCGTGAAAGTGACGGCATTAAGAAGAAATAAGTCTGTTTTAGGAGGGCGAGAGTTTGGTTCTCGCACCGAGGGAAGGAGAAGAAGGAGGAGGAGAAGGAGGAAAGACCTTCGGGGAGGAAGAAGGGACGTTTGGGGGCCGAAATCCCGATGCCAGTGATGGCAAACGAGCCGATCATCCTAAATGTTTATGATATGGTAAGAAGAAAAATAGAAAATACAAAACACACATTTGGTTCCAGCTGGTGAAGTTGTTCTTGTAACAAGTTCCTCTGTAAAAATTGATCTGATTAATTAGTTTTAAGCAGGCATTTTTCTGTATTAAAAACAAAAACAAATATTTGAGTTAATCCCTAATTGTTATTGTACTCACATGCAGTAAAATAGCTTTGTACAGTGATATTTACCTGAATTCAAATTAAGTTTATCAATCTTTAGTTTCTATAACAACAACAACAACAACAACAATTTAAAGACATAAAATAGCATTTATTTATTTTAAAAACACCAAGGTGAGTTCAAAAGAGGCTGTGACCTAAAACCTTGGCATTTCAGCAAGAAGTCATGAGGGATTCTAGAAACCTGGTGAAATAAGTTAGTAAGTTATGCCCTTTAAAATACAATACAAAAAACAGGCATAAAAGATTGTAAAACGACCTAAAACAAGCGAATCGGCATAAATATAACTAAAACATAATTATAAAAGCCCTAAACTAATCACATTTATCTATTAGTTACAGGACTTTATATAGTTTTCTTAGAAAATATGTAGAAATAACAGGATCTTTTATAGCAACAACTTGGTGCATAAATGAAGTAAGATATAAAGAAATAGTGGGTTGCAAGACGCCCCTTAGATACTTTATTTTAAAGCTTTGTTAGTGGTCCTCAGTGCAACCGAAGCACACCTGAGTGAGTCAAAGAGGCATGAAGGAAGCTGATCTTTGGTCCCCACATGTCTTTTTTTGCCACTTCAGTAGAAAACAGAACTGAATGTTAGTTTCTTAATTTCTGCATCATCAGTGGCTTTTTTTTAAATAATACTATAGTAAGAAAGAAAAAGAAAAAAGTAGAAGAGAAATATAAGAACAGTAAAGAGAGAAACCGATAGAAATTGTACAGCATGTGAAATGAACACCAAATAACACCACACCTGACATTTGACCATCACACACAATCAAACACATACAAACTTACACATATACATGCATACAAACATACCTACATACACACACACTCACATACACCCCCCCAACACACACACACACACACACACACTATATACACACATAATATATATATAGCCAGTGATTGTCAGAAACCCCAGGATCCAAATGTCTGTCTTTGTTTCAACAATACTGGATTTCCATATGAGGAAAAGATGGGCCCTTGTTGAAATTTAAAGTGGCACTAGTGAGTTTTGCACTTCATGTCCTTACAAAATCCTGTTTTGGTAACTTTTGTGTGAGCTGTCATTGGGAGGAAAACCCCTAATTGTGAAATAGCTAACTACAAGTAAATAGGAAAGGAGTTTAAGGAATGCACAGTTGTTGCAGAATGAGGCAGAGGTTGAATTTGATGTCACCATACAGGGGTGAGTCAGTCAGGAGAGGTTTGCTAATTGATCTGCTGATGAATCATTGATTGATATGGATTCCCTGCTGTGGCAACTAGATTACACCAAAAATGGGAAGCATCTCGCTTAGCGCTATCAAAACATAAATAACAGCATTCTAGGGATAAAGTGAGCTCTTGCTTATAGAATAACTTACATTTAGCCCTGACGTTTTGCTCTACATCTTATTTTCTCATCTCATATAGACTGCAAATTAGCATCTTGTTGAGTCCTTTGTGGTCTGTGCATCTAAACACACACACACCCCCACACTACTTTTGCCTCTTCTTCTTCACTTCTTCCACTTTAGACTGATTTCCTGTCAGAAGCTCAATAAAACAAGTTTTTAAATGGCTAAAAAAATGATTAAAAACCAGACCATAAAATCCTCATCTAAAGTTGGAGCATAACATGTATGAAAAAGAGTTTTAGCCTTTCCCTCCACCGCCTTTTCGTCATCATCTCTCCTGACTCATCCTCTTCTGTAATTTTTTTCTTCTCCCCTCCCCTCTCTGTCTTCTCTCCTCCCCCTCCTTCCACTTCCTCTTATTTTTCTCTTGACTGGCTGGCCACATTGGTTTCTTCTGTGAAAACTCTGCAGAGCTATTATCTCAGTTTTATTAACATGACCAAGAGACTCGTCATACCGTGGCATGCAAAAAGCCTGCAGAGGCTTTAGGGGTGTGGTGTTTCTTGATAGGTATCACATTCTACACAAATGGGATGCATATCAGGACAGTGGAATTTGCATGCAGAACAGTTTGGTGCCTTTGGATTCAGTATAGTGTGATAACTTTATTTGTAAGTGGGTACAAGTGTTTTTTCCTATATCATTGCTTATAATAGTTTGATTTATAAATAAAACAAAGAATCACCGTATTGCACAAAACACACAGATTTAAAATCTGTTATAATTTTTTTATATGCTGGGTATTGGCTCTGATGTCTCCAAAACACTGTAAGATGATACTATTTTAGAAGTAAATTAGGGAATGTATGCTGTAGTTTTTAAAATGTATTTATTATGTTCATGCATTTTGTTAAACATAGCCTTTAGTATCTTAAAGGGATCCACGGTTAGTTGTAACATTAAACTTTATTTGACAAACATTTATTTTAACTGTAAAATAAAGACTGTAAAAATACTGTAGGCTGATTAGTTTTGTAAATTTTAAAATATATATTTTAACATGGATGGAGCCATTTTATTTACACACAAAGCGTTCTGGGTAAATGATGACATCAACTAGGTCAATGGTGCGAGGC